GAGTCTCCACGCTGCTGCCTGGGCAGCGGGGCGAGGAGGCAGGGAGCACTGGACAAGGGGCCTATGAGAGCCAGAGTGAGGGGCAGCCGGGCACCCTTCCCTCTTCCACCCTGGCCCCGTTTCTACCCTGAGGCTGCAGCCATGCCCAGGGTGGGAGGGCACGATGGGAGGTGTAAGCTTCTAAAACACTGAGGAAAACACATCTCTGGTGAGGACCTGGGAAAGTGGGCCCCTCTGCTCCATAATTTTGAGGGAATCCTGCTTATTTTTTCTTCTCTTGCCAGTTTACCCTGAAAACCACCCAGCTGTGTGAAGTTTGCACACAGCGCACAGTGGGGAGAAAAATCTGGGGCTCTGAGAGAAACCAGAGCTTCTAGCCAGAGGACCGGAGAGTCCAGGAGAAGACGGCTGACATAGGTGCGCTTGGCCTGCACAGAGCGCCCCGGGGACCAGCTCGGGCTCTCTGCTGCGCTGGTGCTGACCTCGCCCCCACGGTGCTGGGGCAGAGCTGTGTGAGTGTCCTCACAGGCTTAACCGGTGGCCTCTGAACTTCTCTACAGAACCCTGTTCAGCAAGGAGGAAGGGCACCACGTCCATCACTAGCTCCATCAGAAGTTTGGAGGAAGAAAATAATTGAATCTGACCAAGCGCAGAGGTCAAGTGGAAGAAGGCCGGAGCTCCAAAGCCTCATCCTGCAGACCTACCCCGCCCTGGATTTTAGTTCTGAGAACAAGTTCATTTTTGCAAATAAACCTATTTTTATTTCACATTTTTCTGTTTCCAATGTTGAACACCCACTTTCTTGTTTGAAAGGTCAACATAAATGCGGGGTAGCTCTCAGGCCTCTGTGCTGCTGGGGGAGGGAGAGGCTATTCAACACGGGTTCCAGCAAGCGCACAGGCCCAGCCTGGCCAGACTCGGTTTTGCGCCCTAACTGGGTCCACCGGTGGAGGTGGCCCTCCCATCCTCCCAGATCTGATGGCACGTGTGGACACAGTGTGACCAAATCCATGTCCCTGTGATAGTCAAGGCATGGCACCCTTCTCTTAAGTCACGTGGGCTTCACTGAACTCGTCCAAGACGCTGCTGACTACTAGAGAGATTCTGTTCCGGGAGACTTTTCAGGGAGGGGATGAGTCTGGGTAACAGGCCTCCACAGGGAATTGCCCCAAATGCCTCTCCATACATAACGTGGGACAGTTCAGCACTGAATCACCCTCATGACTAGGGCGTGGGAGCTCAGGCCCGCACATCCGCTCGGTCCCTTTTCTGCCCTTACTCCCAGTCACCCTAATGTGTGTGGTGACTTGTTCTCCAGGCCACCTCCCATGCCTGGAAGTGGGCAGAAATAAGAGAGAGACAAGTAGGGGGGTCTCCGCCTTCTCCAGGAGCTCAGAGTAACTGAGAATCTGCTGGGGGAGAGGCCAGAACTTTCTGCCAGATTCCACTGTATTGGAGGCATTTAGAGTGTGGCCTATGTAACCAGTTCACGAAAGCCTTCGACTCCTCCGAGGTTTGCTCTCCCTGCCCCACCTCCACCAGACCCTACGGCAGGCACTGGGTCACTTGGTGAGAAAAAAACCCCAACTAACCATTACTGGCCTACAGGGATAGGAAGTGCTAGACAAAATGACCTCAAATTAAAAGAAAAATAAAACCACCCTTGTAGATATATGTTGGACGTCAGCCCACATCTGACTAAACCCAGGTTTCACTTGAGAACATTTTAACATTATTTCTTAATAGCAGTTCCTCTGACTTTCTCACCCTTATCTCGCCTGCTGTCTAACCACCAGAGAAATGCCAACTGTCACCACCTTGGGGCACCTCTCCGATGACACCAGAGTGGGAGCCCCAACATGACGAATAGCAGGGACAGGCAGGAGGCAGCCCCTCGCACAGGGCAGCAGCGGGAACGAGAAACTAAATGCTTTTCGCTCACAGAGCCTCCACCCAGCCCAGTACCATCCTGGTGCCCTTTAAGCACCATCACTGAACAGATGGATGCTGGCAGCTTAAGTGGCCTGCAGCTCACTGTGTGGCGGGAGGTCAGCAGAACTTCATCCCACAGTCTCCACTCTGCTCTGCAGATTCAGGTCTGTTTTTTGGCTGGTTCCAAGGCAGCAAAGTAGAATTCTTTCTCTTCTAACGAGAATAAAATTACTTTATCCACAGAAGGAAAGAAATGTGAATTCTGTGTCATAGAAAAAAGGACAAGGAGTAAGCTACTGATTTATATGCGAGAACAATTTACATTATGCAGGGTGCTGGTTTTGTGACTATTAATGTCAAAGTGAGTTTGGAGACCCTTTGGCCACTGGAGTGGCTACGGGACACGGGCTCGGCTGATGGAAACCTCCAGAGAATTCACTCGGCTGCCCTGCAGGAATTCCTGATTTCAGTAAGTTAGAAAGCAGATAAAACACATAATACCGAAGCTTTGTTGAACCTAATTTATCACCAACGTCAGTTCCCAATGTTTTGCAGACAGGAGCAACAGGAGCGAGAGTGTAATTCTGACCGAGGAGGACTGAATTCTGATGCATGCTCATTGTTACATTAGTAGCTGGGGCGTCTTCTTGGGTTGCTTAGATGCGTCTAGTCTCTGGAGCCTCTTCCTCCAGCTCACACATCTGCCCTCATTCCTTCCGCTCTATCCCTCTCTGATTTCCTCGCCAATCCTACAAAATCCACACAGACTGAACCATTTTCCGTAAGTCCTGTTTCTCCCCGCCAGCCTCAACAGGTAACAATATTCCCCTGACCTACGCCCTGTGCTTGGTGCACACACAGACCCTCTCATGCCTCCTTGGTTGTCACAGACACACCTCAGCTTGTCAGTGTCACCCGTGTCTGAGACGCCATGGACTCCTCACCCTCTGGCTGCACCTCACGCCGCCACTCAGCAGAACCCCCGTTTCTGCCCCAACACCTGCCTTCACCATTTCCAGCTCCAGGTTTCCCAGGGGTCATCATTCGCCTCTTTGCCAGTCAACATCGTTGTTCGTCCCTTTTGCAACATTTCCTATTTTACCCCAATTTTAATTCTGCTTGGGATTGAACCGGTTGTTCACCAGTCTGCCTGTCTCAACTAGTTTCAAAAACAAAGCAAAACAAAACAAAACCAGACCTATACGGTACAGTGTGCATGTGTGTGGGGGGGGACAACCAGATTTTATTCAGGAGTAAAAGAGGAGAAAAGAGACAGTGGGACAAAGCCAAGCTCAAGTCCGAGCATTGCTTGGGCAAGTAGGGACTCACAGGGAGGAGCAGGTGTTCAAAACAGACAGTTTAAAAACAAAGTCTAAGCCCTGGCTGGCGTAGCTCAGTGGATTGAGCACAGGCCTGTGAACCAAAAGATCAAGGTTCGATTCCCAGTCACGGCACATGCCTGGGTTGCAGGCCAGTTCCCAGCAGGGGGTCGCATGAGAAGCAACCATATACTGATTTAAAAAAAAAAAGACTATTTATGCAAAGCCCACATTTTAAAGAAATATAGAAGGGGGCACTCCCTGCACCATCAGGAACATAGTAGAAGAGCTAGTGAACCAGTGGTATCTTGGGGTGATTTACTTGCATACTTCTAAGCCACAGGTGGCAAACACAAGGCCCACTGGCCAAATCCGGCCCTCCACCTGGCCCTCCACCTCCTTTTATCCAGCTCTCGGCATGTTGTTTCCACCCAGCAGGAGGGCCGAGGTCCTTGCCCTTAGCTAAGAGCAGTTCCATTTATACAGTCCTAAAATTATATTCGGCCCCTTTCAAGGCAACCGAGAGGCTGATGCGGCCCCTGGGTGAAAATGAGTTTTACACCGCTGTTCTAAGCTATTATCAAAAATGTAACAGATACTTCCAGAAGACTGACAGCATTTGGCTCCTTCAAATTCCCATCATGTTAGTTTTGTGATTTCCCTTCTCCCACACCTAGCCCGTATTTGTAGAGGCAACAGATATGAAAGTATTTGTTTCAACTCATTTTGTTTGTGATCACCCTGAAGGTGCCTTAAATTTCCAAAGTGTGCCTAAATCCAAGATTTGAGTTTTGGAAATTTACCTTATCTAAATTACATGTTGAGAAATAAACATGAAACAAGCCAGATTTGGTTTGGTGCAATTTACTTTCCTTAAAAAGAATTATTTAGAGTATCGCGGTTCAATTCCCAGTCAGGGCACATGCCTGGGTTACAGGCCAGTTCCCAGCAGGGGACACATGAGAGGCAACCATACATTGATATTTCTCTCCCACTCTTTCTCCTTCCCTTCCCCTCTCTTGAAAAATAGATAAATAAAATATTTAAAAATTTTTTCTTTACTTTGGATTAACTTTATATTTACAGAAAAGCTGCCAATAAAATCCAGAACTACCCCTCACCCAGTGTCCCCAAATGTCAACGTCTTATCACCTCAATTTATCAAAATATTTCTTTAATCGCAAACTCCAAAAGACACATTATTATAGTCCAGCACTTTCTTTCAAGAGTATCGCTATGATTTCGAAGTTTCATCCTCTTGATATTTTTTGAGAAAGTTTAATTACAGTAGTTGCAATTATCATCAATGATGCAAGTTGCGGCAAAGTAACTCGCACAGCCAGCCAGGGTAAAGAAAATGCCAGGACGCCGCAGCACCTTTTCCCTGGATTTCTACTTCACGGGTGGGGGCACGGTGGGGGGTGGGGGGCGCCACAAATCTTCTGCGCCACTCGGTCCACCAGGGAGCAGAGAAGGGGGCTCACCGGAGAGGTGTTTCCCCGACTAGGAAGCCGAGGCGGGAGAGGGGGACTCCATGAGTCCACTCGCCAAGGAAAGGGTTCCCCCATCCCCCCAGGGTGCTGCGGTGGAACAATGGCGAGGGGCTGGAAAGTGAGCGCTGAGGGGCAAAGGAGAAAGCAGATGACAAGACACACAACCTTCTGACCTCCTGGCCACACCGCGCCCAGCCAGTCCTCGCACCGCAACCATCGGACTTCTCCGGCCACTCACTGCCGGCGCCCTACTCACTTGTCGCCCCAATCACTGGTTGTACTCCTGTGTCACTGCGTTGGTTCGCCGCTGCCAAGCCGCGAAAGTGAACCTTCAGGGTGAAACACTACGCCCCATCCTGTGGAAGAGGCAAGAAGATGACAGCGAGCCCCGCGTACCTTCCCCAAGGAGTTGGTTCGCTTTTCTAGCCTTGAGTCAACTCTACGCGGGGTGCTTGCGCACTGGGAGCCCGGGCTCCGCAGTCCATTGGCGGGCAATCTGCCCGCTCTGGGCGGGGCCTCAGGACCTGGTGGGCCGCAACGCCGCTTGATTGGCCGGTGGCGGGTGGGACCTAGCCACGTGGCCAGTAGTTGCGTGGGTGTGGCAGCGCCCAGCGTTGGTTGCCTCCGGCGGTTCCAACTCAGTACTGCCCCCCGGCAGTCCCCATTTCCGACCCCTGGGCGACCCGGTGCAGTTTTTCCGCTTAACCCCCGCCTCACGCCCTTGGCCTCCCTATCTACAAGATAAGCTCTTCCTTGGCGCTGCCTTCCGGGCACTGGGATCTTAGTCGCCGCACACCCAGCACACCCAGGTGACGGGTGCCTCCCCACCAGCAACTGCTGCCCGCAGCTTGTCTGCCAGGGGCATCTTCCGCCTGGAACTTCTGAGGTCCTCCAACCCTTTATCCCCTGTAAACTTTGTCCAACCCTGTCCATTTCCTTATGAGGCCTCAGGCTTTTCACCCAAGGAAGCTTAGATGTCGCCCTCCTTGCCTTGCCCACCTCAAATGTCGGAATTTCCAACCTCTTGCTCATCCATCTCATACTGTCCACTATGCAACAGTCACGGGACAACTACGACAGTCTCCTAACTGGTGCTCCCCCTCCTTGTGCCATCGCTGTATCCCTCACCTGAGCCACCTTGCCTCAAGTGCCTGCCCCAACACCTCCTCGGGGCCCGCACCTCACTGCTGGCCCCACAGTCTCTCACCTGTAAGCTCTCTGCTTGCTACCCGTTAGCCCTCCGAACCCCATATCCTGCACTCCCTCCCCTCCAGCACTCCCTCCTCAGGCTCAGCCCCTCCTACCCGTTCTGCTCCTTCCAGCAGCCCTAGTGCAGTCTCCTGACACCAGCCTCCATTCGTTTCCAACCCTATCCCAGAGCCCCAGCATCCTTCCTGAGGGTAAGACCTTGCTTATCCAAGGCCTGCCCATTCACTCCACAGATAGTTATGGAGAAACCTACTATATGCCAGGAACTGGTCTAGATGCTGGGGATAAGCTAGTGGACAAATCCAATGAAATCTTTCCCTGCCTTTCTCCAGCATCCTACTGGAAGCAACAGACCATTTTAAAAAAAGTAAATTGTATGGTATGTTAGAAAGTAGCAACTTTTGTGGGAGAAAAATAAAGCAGAGTAGGCAGCTGGGGAGCATGGGGTGGAATTGGGGTTAGAAGACCTGAGAAGAGAGGCCCCAGGCAGGTGGGGGAGGAGGAGTCCAGGCAGAGGCTCAGCCTTGCAGAAGGTGGGGGCACCGAACAGGAGATGTATGGCTACAGGGGGACGAAGCAGAAGGACAGAGGATGTGTAGCCCTTGGTATGCAATTCAATTTTTACTGAGTGAGGTGGGGAAGCATTAGAAGGTTTCAATTCAGGCGGTAATGTGATCTCACTCATGTCTCAAGTAATCTGGGTGGTGGGAGAACAAATGGAGCAGGGAGATCTGGCCAGAGATAATCATTAACTCTGCTTGGGGTGTTAAAATGGAGTGGTGAGAAGCTGTCAAACTTTGGATCTACTCTGAAGGTAAAACCCACAAGATACCCTGAAAACTGGATAAGGATTGTGAGAAAAACAAGGCAGTCCAGGACAACTTGAAGGGCTTCAGCCAAAGGCTGGAAAGAATGATTTGCCATTACTGAGATGGGGAAGACTGCAGGACTAGGTCTAGGGGAGGTCAGCGTCCCACTTTGGACATGACTTCCAGATTTTTATTAGACATCCAAGTGGGTGTATCAGTAGACACTTGAATATGAGACTCTGGGCTGAGTGGACAAACAGGAGCCATCAGCACAGGGACCGTATTACAGCCTGGGGATGGGCTGAATCTCCACCACAGTGAGGCAAGAGAGGACAGGACTAACACCACCAACGCAAAGAGGCTGGAAGAGGGTGCAGCAGAGGAGATGGAGAGGGGGAATCACTGATATGGGAGAAAAATGGAAGCTGAGAGAAGGAAGTGAGACAGGAGGAAGGTGTGGTCAGCAGGTCACATGCTGCTGGGAGGGCAACAAGGATGAGGATTTAGCAACATGGAGGCCACTGAAACCCTAATTCAGCTCCAGCTGTCCCCCATCTACCCCTGACAGCCCCCTGCTCCCTGTTCTCACATCAGCAACCACAGACCCTTCTCACTGTCCCTTCCTGCCATTTTCAGTTTCTATCCCTAAGCTTGGGTACAACGCTGGAGCATGCAGCCTGTTCTTCCTTTACTCACTGGGATTTTTTAAAAAATATTTTATTTATTTATCTTTAGAGGGGAAGGGAAGGAGAGAGGGAGAGAAACATTAATGTATGGTTGCCTTTTGTGCATCCCCTGCTGGGAACTGGCCTGCAACCCAGGCATGTGCCCTGACTGGGAATCGAACTGTGATCCTTTGGTTCGCAGGCCTGCGCTCAATCCACTGAGCTACACTAGCCAGGGCTGAAATAGGTATATTTTAAAATTATCTATTTTAAGAAAAACATTAAGTAAATAATACAAGTGGCCCATTGATATGGTGCAAATCATCAGAGTTGTGCTGCCGAAGTGACTCCACCCGGGAAAGTAAGTGTCCTTTCCCTCTTCTTCCTCTAACTCTGTCTACATGTGGCCAAAGTAACCTTTCTAAGTCCCAAATTTTAGATCCTGTCACCTTATTACACTCAAGATAAATCTCAAACTCCCTAGCAGGGCCTGCAGACAAACAGCTCAATCGGCCCTTTTGCAATCCTGCTGCTTCCAGAGCTGCTCGGGCCTAAGGACTGCAGCCTCCCTTCCCTGGCCCCTGCTCCTCCTCTTCCTGCTCATCGAGCTCCGTGCATGGCTCCAGACCCAGCAGGACTCCCCATTCCCCAACCCCCCATGGCCTTCCGGACCCTCTAGGCTGGCTTAAGTGTCCTGCACATATGGACAGTACCTTTCACGTCACCCCACTACCACCTTTGTCTCATCCTGCTGGTGACATGTGATTTTCTGTTTGTGTCGGCCTCTGCTGCAGTGGGAACTTTTCAGGAGAGGGCAGGGCTGTGGGGAGCAGGACCTGAAGCCATGTTTCCAGGGTGTGAAGAATCTGGTTCAACAAGGAAACGGCCTGCCTGGCAGGGTGGAGTGTTCGAGGACCTGAACTGATGCGTCTGTAGTGGTGGAGTACCCCAGGATGAGCCCACGGGGATCCCCTGTGACCGATTGAGGGTCTCAAGTCATGTATCGAGAGACTCAGAAGGGTGTGAGTACATGACCCTCAAAGATATAAGAAGTGGGGACCTCACACCACTGCTGAGGCAGCCAAGCCCCAGACACCCAGGTGCTGCTCCACGCAGTGCGGGAGGCTGCTGGACCCAGGACTTTGTCTGCCCCCCCCCCCCGCCCACCAGGCTCGAGATTCTGCCTTGTAAGATGCTGACGGTTCCCTGCCTACTGTGCTGTCTCCCAGACTCAGACTGAGACTCTGGGATTCCGGTTCACTGTCCTCCGATTCCCCTGTGCGGTGTCATCACTAACTGTTTCTGAGTGATTGGAATTGTTATTAGGTTAGGAGAGATTTGGAATGAATCTGCATTAATACAGGCTGAGTGCATCTACATTAATAGAAGCCGAGTGAACAGCACAGTCACCTGTGCTGTCTCCCTATTACCTCTTGGTGCGGTGTCACCTGTAGAATTGGTGTCATATAGGTGGCTCCACACTTTCAGTTCTTAAGGCCCAGATAGGATGACCTGAGTGCGAATTGAAGGCTGGCCCATGGGAAAGACTATATAATGAAGCATATGTTTGCAATGAGGGATTGTATCGCTTTCATGACAAGGTCCCAGCCTCCTGGTACACACGCAGAAAGTGCCCAGTATGTGTGTGTTGACTGCATACGTTCCTCTGTAGGCATCTGATCCACCTCCATCTCCTCCCTCCTGTCACAAATCTGGGAGTGATTTAAATGACCTCCTGCAACAGAGGACAAAGTACCTCATGCTTCAGGGCCTGATACACAGTAGGCACAAAATGAACATGGGATGAACGAATAAATATCAAACCATAAATCCAAAGACAAGACTACAAGGGCTCACACTTATTATGTTGCCAGTGGAAACGGGGTCCTTTTGCTACTGGGCGGGGACAGGCCCGGAGCAGGTCTGGCGCAGGCGGGCCTATAATGTGTGGGTTTTGACTTTGCACAGGGAAGACCTCACAGCATGAGTCTAGGTGATTTGGACAGTATGTTTATTAAAGCTGGGGACAGTGGCCCTGGCTGGTGTGGCTCAGTAAACTGAGCACTGGACTGAGAAGCCAAGAGTCACCAGTTCAATTCCCAGTCAGGGCACATGCCTGGGTTGCGGGCCAGGTCCTCAGTAGGGGGCACGTGAGAGGCAACCACACATTGATGTTTCTGTCCCTCTCCTTCCCTTCCTTTCTCTCTAAAAATAAATAAATCAATATTTAAAAAAAATAAAGCTGGGAGCTTTGCGCAGTGGCAGTGTCGTAGCCAATAAGGTTTATCCTAGGCGCGATTATTGCTAATTGAAAACAAGAAAGAAAGAAAGAAAGAGAGAGAGAGAGAGAGAGAGAGAGAGAGAGAGAGAGAGAGAGAAAGAAAGAAAGAAAGAAAGAAGAAAGAAAGAAAGAAAGAAAGAGAGAGAGAGAAAGAAAGAAAGAAAAAGCTGGAGACAGTGAAACAAGGAGGGACTTAGGGAAGAACTAACAGGAGAGAACCCAGGCAGTGGTCTGCAGTGCTTCCCTGGAAATGCTATAAGAATAAAGTGAGCAGATTGTTTGAAATCCACTTCCTGTCAAGATGGCAGCATAGGCAGACATGGCTCGCCTCTTTGCACAACCACATCAAAATTACAACTAAAATACAGAACAACCACCACTCAGAACTGTCA